ATGTTAAATCCTTATCAGGTTATTATTGTTTCGAGCGAGGTCTATAAAAAAGCGGTCGAATGGAGAAAAAAAGAGAAAATAAGAATTAATTCGAAGTGAAAAACATGAAAAAAAAGGATCGAGAAGAATAAAATAGCGCTTAGAAGTGAGAACGAAAAAGAAAAACACGCCTGAAAGACGGGACATTTGAACAGCTTATATATCGGTCATATAAGGATAGAGGATAAAGCTCTCGACGTTGACCAACCGCTGAGGGATACACCATGCATTCAATTCCACTCGTAGCATCGTTGAAGGTGATCTGATGCTCATCTGGCCTTTACAATGACTAACGTTGGCTTAACGTCGTTCAGATCAGCGTTCCTCTTGCTTCCATGTAACCCTGGTACCAGTTCACCGATTTCGAATGGAAGGAAGGCGAGGTGAGCCTTAGGCGCGAGATCGAACCATCGACCACCGCTTGATCGGGCCATGTTGGTGTCGCAGACCACTTCTAACCACTGCGCCACACGTCCTCCGGACATCCGGACATCTAAAGAGCCTGTATATAACGTAATAACCAGTGGATACGAAGGCAAACCTTAATTTCGACTCCAATTGAACCTCGAAATGGACAGTCAATGTTATGCCTTTACCGATGAGCTAACACGAGGTTTTTATGAATCATCAAACTTTTGGCTAAGCGCATAAAGCGCAGCGCTTAGAGCTGCTCTGCTGCGCACACATGGTCGATGGTTCGACTCGCGTTCATGGCTCACCAAGCTTTCCATCCCTCCGGGGTCGGCTGACTGTTACAAACTGGTCTCGAGCTTGTCTGGAAGGATAAACAGCACTGACTCGGTTCAGCGGGAGGCCAGCGCGAGTCATTGCAAAGGCCAGATGTGTATCCAATCACCTCAATCGAAGCTACGAATGGAGTCGAATGCATGGCGCGTCTACCAGAGGATGATCAAAACCAAGGGCTTTATCCTCAGCCCTCCTTATTTTGGTTGAAGTCTCGGCGGCATCGCCTTTGATCTTCGGACTAAAGCTAATCGATAAAAGCAAAACATTAACAAAAAGGTGGCATACATGTCTGTAAGGCTTCAAAAAAAAGTGTATTTACCAGTTGGAACAACGAGAACTTATGAACTACAAATTATAGATAGCATTTTTCTGATCTGCCTAGTACCAGATGTTGACATGAAAAACTATTCAGCTATCGTCTTAGCGAGCGCGTGTAGCTCAGTGGTTAGAATTGTCTACTCAACGTCGCACACAGGGTCGATGGTTCGATGCCTGAATCAAGGCTCATCAAGCCTCTCGTCCCTCCAGAGTCAGTGAATTGGTAACAGACTTGTCCGAGGGGATAGCAGCAGAGAATCGGTCGGCTACCGCGATGCATTGTAAAGGGCCCCATAGACATCGAAGCAGCTCAGTCGATGCTACGAATGGAGTCGAATGCATGGCGCATTCCTCAGGGATGACCAACGCCGAGAGCTTTACCCCCTGAGCCATTCATATTGGCCGGAGTTTCGGCAGCAAGGCCTTTGATCTCCGGACTAAGGCCGATCAATATAAGAAAATAAAGGTGTGGAACATGCCCTAAAGGCCTCAAAAAACACGTACCTATCAGTCAAAACAAAGAGATTATAAACTGCAAAATAGGGGTTCTTTTCTGATTTAGCTAATACCACGAGGTTGATCCAATGATCGCGTAAGGCGCAGTGGTTAGAGTGGCCTACTCCGCCTCGCACACAAGGTCGATGGTTCGATCCCGGCCGAAGGCCCATCAAGCTTCCCATCCCTCCCGGATCAGCAAACTGGTATCAGATTTGTCTGGGAGGGTAGCCGCACTAACTTTCTACACTGATAAGCCACCGCGAGTCATATTGTAAAGGCACGATATGCGTTGAATTACCACTATCGATTGCTACGAACGGAAACGAATGCGTAGCCAAGAATCCACGGATTCCAGGAATTGACCAAGCCCAGAGCTTTCGCTTTGTCCTCCTGACCTTTCCAAGTCTTCGTCTTCTTCAGAGCCGATGTCACGTCACATATTGATCGTAGAAGAAACCATTATCGATTAGTGATGCCGAAATTGAATACTCAATCGATTTTATCGATTTTATTTATATTTATTTCCATCTAAATAAAATAAATAAGAAATACCGAGATTTCTAAGAGTCGATTTTAAAAAAATAAAACAATAGTCGAGTTGGAAAAGGCCTACGCCAGCCATTACCGATACGAACACCACAAAAAGAGCATAAATAATAAAGAATACAGACTTTGGAGAAGGGAATAGCGTCGAGGAAACGACGGTAACTTCCAGGCGATCCAACGAGCTGACGCGAAAATCCTCGAAAATTGGGAACGCCACTTCGAGAAACGCGATGCGATGATACGGTAAAGTGGAGGCGTAATCCACACAGGACCAACTTAGCGATCGACGTGCCGATGCCCTTTAATTGCTATTTGTGGTCGAGGAGGGTCTTCCTCGGCGGGCGACTTCTTCCTGGTTCTTTTTCGCTCGAAGGGGCTTTTTTCGATAGATTTTTAGGTGTCGTTCGATAGCTCAAATCTCGACGATCTTTGTCCTTTGCTTGGTTTCTGCAGAATTCTTCTCGATCAGCTGAAGCAGCGAGAAAAAAGGGTTATGTCTCACGCTCAGAGTACATTCCTGGCACGTCTAAGGTCTGTGGATGCTTTTTTATGGGCCTATACGGATGTTCTATCGATGGCACAAATCTCGGCGATTCCGATGGTGTCCTTGGTTTTTTAGAAGGTCTTCACAGCGAGCCGCAGGAGCGAGAAGAAACTTGTGTTTTACACTCGAAGTTTTTTGTCGTCTATAAGGGTTCTGTGTGCATAAAAAGTACATGAGTGTGGAGAGAAAATTATGAAGTATTGTATAGTAAATGCCCAGGTTAGTAGATAGGCGGTCTTCAAAAGTACTGGATCAATAAACCCAATGATGTAGAGTGGTGTGCAAAAACGTTTGCGTCAGCCGGGATTTGAACCCCAGATCTTACTCTTTCCGGAAAGGGTTCTGGGTTCGAATCCCGGCTGACGCAAACGTTTTTGCACACCACTCTACATCATTGGGTCTATTGAAAACATCATAACACCGCAATAAGACGGTCAAATAAAAATGATCTCCAATTACTGGATCAACTTAAATCGCAACCTGAACTTGTCATATGAACGCCGTTCGATTCTTTAGGGGTAATGAGAATTAAGATTTTAAGAAAGCCACAACTTATGCAGTACAAACTTAAATGTGAGCGCATGTGGCGTATTGTTAGAGGTGCTCTGCGTCGCACACGAGGTTGGTGGTTCGATCTCGCGCCCATGGCTCACCGAGCCATCGTTCCCTCCGGGCTCGGTAAATTGGTACCCGGCAGGTCTCAGACTTGTCTGGGAGGATAAGCAGCACTGACTCGGTTCAGCGGGAGGCCACCGCGAGCCATTGTAAAGGCCAGATATGCTTTCAATCACCTCAAGCGAAGTTAATAATTGAAGACGAGTGCATGGCGCATCCCTCAGGGGTTCATTAACGCCGAAAGCTTTAGAGAGCTTTGAACCTAAACGTGGTTATTCGCGCCGTTGTCTTTATAGCCTGTGAGAATGCTTAAGGCCTTTTCGAAGTTCGTACGTCACTGCCATGTGCACTTTTTGGCGGTGTCGCCCGCTTCTTTAGTGGCTCACGCTCCATTCTCACAGACTGTATTGAGGAGAATTCGATTGGATGAAGAACATAATACTGCAGGTGTTCCATGAGTGAGCAGAATCATTTCAGTAGCTCTGAAGAGATGGCGATTCATGTCTGTGCAGTGATAATCTTCCTTCGGATCACTTGACAAAACGTGCGGCACTACCACTAATGGATACTAATTTCATAATTATTATTTGATCCTACATGTCATGTGGTCTGTTATGGGCTCTTGTACACCCGGATACACGTGTTTCGGCCTTACAGCCTCGTCAGTCAGGCAGACCTTTCGTTTTTAGTCAATCCTTTCGAGGGCCCCTACATCGACCTATAAAGAGATAAATGACGACGAACGATTCACACAATTATGTGGAAGCCTTGAGAGGATTCGCTGAATGCGAAAGACCCCCTGACTGACGGGGCTGCAAGGCCGAAACACGTGTAACGGGCTGGGCAAGAGCACATTCACAGATCACATGACATGTTGGCTAAAGTAACACTTATGAGATATATTGAAATTTGAGAGTGGTCTTAGTAAAACACTGAAATAAAAGGTATTATGTATACGACCGATTTTCTTTTAAACCTTGGTGTTAGTCAGTGTTTTCTTGATGACCAGGCATGGGTTATTCGTAATAAGATTTTTTCGATACATTAGTGGTTGATGGGGACGAGATAACGCAGTGATTAGTGCTGCGGTGTAAATGGAAAGAAGGTTTTGGTCAAGACGCTGGTTCGATCCCCTTGACGAACACGATTTTGGAATCAATCAGCGACCGCTTAAGGGACTACCTCCAGGGCTGTAAAAAGAATCGTCTCGACCAGCATTCAGCGATTTTACGAAGAGGCGAAATTTTCAGGCAGCTGCCAAAGCAACATATGAAATATTTGAAGGCCGAAACACAGTCCTTGAAAGGCTTAAAAAATGCTGTCAGGATGTAATAATTTGAAGGGAGGTCTCAAAAAACAGTCGAATATGAAGGTATTATCAAAAATACCAGCCTTGATCAATCGACCGTTAATCACTGCATGTCTAGTGATATGAATCACCGAACATTGCACTAGTACAGCATGAAGTACTAACTGAGGTTTCATCGGACTAAGGTCCTGATCCATGAGGGACTGCACGCTTGGTCTTCGGTGAATAACGGGAATATTCACAGAAAAACCGAACGGCTCTAAAAAAGTAATGACCATCGAAATGTCGTGTGTTGTGAGCATTAATATTAGAACAATCTCGTTATTACTCATCAAGAAAACAGTACTTGTATTCCCAGTGATGTAGAGTGATGTGCAAAACTTTCGCGTCAGGCGGGACTCGAACCCATATCTCACTCGATCCGGGAGCGCGTGCTCTAACCCGTTGCACTATTGACGCCCATTTTACACCACTTTTTCTATACTACAACGCATCTGTCAGCCGCCAACGGTAGGAAAATGGTGCGCAGAATGGGCGTCAGTTGTGCAACGGGTTAGAGCACGCGCTCCCGGATAGTGTGAGATATGGGTTCGAATCCCGCCTGACCCAAAATATTTGCACATCACTCTGCATCACTGGCTACATTTGTAACATCGTAACACCGCGGAAAGTGGTTAAACGAATAGGATGTCTGTTAGTATATGTATTCTTTCTTCAGGCGACAGAATAACTTTCTGCCAAGGGAATGTGCGCGAAAATTTTTTGTTAAGTGAATCTATCAGAACTTTATTCAGAAAAAACTTGAAAGTGTCCCAGAATACACGAAGTTCGTTTTTTTTTTACAGAAAAAGTGGAATAAGCCTTCGTCCACGGGGGATTTCATCCTCCATTAGGAAGTCTTAGTTGGCGATTTCAGTTTTTTTTTTCCCACATTTTCGATTGTTTTTCATTCAATTCAGTAACACCCAACATCTGTAAGCGTGTAGGGGTTTAATGAAGATACTGACTACACGGGCCAAACCGTTGACGCTTAACATGTGGAGTACTGTGCAAAAACGTTTGCGTCAGCCGGGATTCGAACCCAGATCTCACCCTTTCCGGGAGCGTATGCTAACCGTTGCACTACCGACGCTCGTTTTTGCACAGCACTCTTATTTACGCCATAACGCGTTGTCTGCCAACAGCCAACCGTCGACGGTATGGCGGGGCAGCCGCTATCGGCACTGAACCCACTTTAGTTGACAGACATTGGATATCGATAATCAGTCATAATTCTTTCTATTTTGACTGCCACTTGCAGTGGTATGATGTTATTAGTATACCCAATACGTTGACGCTTGGTTGCTGACAGATAGATAGATGCCTTGTAGCGCAGAAATAATGGTGATAAAACGGGCGTTCGTAGTGCAACGGGTTAGAGGATGTGCTACCAGGTTGAGTGAGATGCGGGTTCGAGTTCCGCTTGACGCGAAAAGTTTTACACATCACTTTCCATCACTGGGTGCATCTATAACACCATACAATCGTCAAAAGCGGTCAAATAAAAAGAGTTTTGTTTGACCATTTTTCAATTACGTAGAGTGGTGTGCAAAAACATTTGCGTCAGCCGGGATTCGAACCCAGATCTCACTCTTTCAGGGAGAGCATGGTGGCGAACCGTTGTAACACCGACTCTCGTTGTGCAAATGTTTTTGCACACCACTCTACATTGTTGGGTTTATTATAACGTCATACCACCGCAATACGCGCTCAAATAAAATTAAAACTGATTGATCATTTTTTAACTGTTTCGTAGTAATAATGATTGCTATATATTGGAAATTTGGAATTTTTCATGCTACGTTCAATATATCCAAGAGATCTGTGGCTCATAGTTGCGTTAAATAATTGGCTTTTGTAGCTGGAATCAACAATTCCAACTAAATTCATCTGTCCCAGTAGTGGCGGCAGAACGATTAGAGAATGATCAAAGCAGCTAAGTACTCGGATAATTCAAATATTTGGGAAGGACATTGCCAAATGCCTGATTTATCACCTCAGTTCCACTGTCTTGTTGCAGAAAAAGTTGCCGTTAAGTCATTATTCCACCTAAGAGTGAATTGTAATGACAGGAAATTGATGAGGCAGCAAACAAAAGCTGAAGTTGAGGTGGTTTAAAACGGCTTCAGCTTAACCGTGGTTTAGTACCGTTTTCTGATCTCTAGAACAAGCTCTAATGCGTGATTGTTGAGAGCTACAGAATAAGTTCTAATACGATTGAGAAAAAGGCAACGTGAAGGCCTTTATGGTGTAATGTGAACGCGCCCCGTCCTGGAAGACATAGTTGCAGGTCGAGTACATCACACAGAAACATCACGTTCTAAGTTCTCCTCGTATTTTAAACACTCTTATTGTTCTAATGACAGAGCTGACAATAGCTTTCGTGTAGAGTACTTATCATAACTCTCTTCTCAGGAAAAAATACCTACTTCAATCAAAAATATTCATCGTTTCAAAGAGAACTGCACGACAGAAAGAATCTTGGTGTATCCTGGCCAACATTACAAGCCCTGTCAATTTACACGGCTTGTTAAGAACTTACTCAAGAAGCTTTTTTTTCTACAAAAAGGCAAAATGTATATAAAAAAACACACTACATCGTTGAGTAATGTACCGGTACGACTTTCAATGCTACTAGTGAGAGAACAGCAGGCTCAAAATCCTTTATCTACGAGGAATGGCGTTCAACGTCCAGAATGGTCGAGCAGAAAGAGGCAACATAATTATGTCTACACACATATACACGCACACACACATAGACACACATGCACAGCACATACATTTACACGCACACACACATACATACATACGTGATGGATACTAGGCACGAAATTGACATGATGCTCGGGAGTTTGTGTAATTTTGAGGCCTGTGTTCAATCAGTAGCAAAACAACACGAATAGAAGAGAGCTTTGCTTGAACTACGATTTGAATACAACCCATAATAGCCCAATTAACAATAGTTCTATTTCTAGAATAACTCTACGATGAAATTCATCTAGCAACCATCAGTGGTGTTCATATCATGATTAATAAGAATGTAAGGAAACCGTACTGAATTCAGTGTACAAAGGAAGAGGAGGAGGAGGAGGAGGAGAGAGAGAGAGAGAATGAAAATGAGCGAAAAGGGTTAACAAAAATGAAATGAATACATGGAAAATAAGTGAGTGATTTGCACATTAACAAAACGTAGACTACAAGTCTTGCTTGGTTGAGACTTGCTGTTTCAGTGCTTGTAGGTCGTTAGTCAGTTGATTCACCGTCTCCAAAAGATTCTCCAGCGATACCGTTTGGTCAGCAACTTTATGTTGATCAACCACTCTAAAATAGTATTCCATACATTGGCGCAATGACTACTTTTCCTTATTTTTCTCAATGTCTTGGTTCTATAATCGTCGAATTCGTCATGACTTGCATCATTGCAATCATTGCGACCACCCTAGAATAGTGTTTCATATATTGGTGCAATAACTATTTCTCCTTGAGTTCTTTTTTTGGAGTCTTGGTTCCATAATCGTCGGATCCGCCACGACGTACTCCATGATATCGTTTCCTAAGATTTTACCACTGTCAAAATGTCGCGTATTGATGGAATGGATCGGGGATTCATCAGAATTGTAGATCTTATTTCATATGTGCTGTCTACCAGATTCAGAAGACTGAAATTTCTTTATGTTACTCATCTCCACCTCTTCCTATGTAATATCTGCTTTGTACATCGTCTTTATGCTTGTTTTATGTGATTTCAGATTGAGTAGAACGTAGAAGTTTTTCAGCTCAGAACTTGCATCGAAATCCAATACGATGGAATAACGTACTTTTTCAAGAGCTGAACAATATCTTCTCCAAACGTTGGTTGCATCTCAAGGTGTTTCATGCGATACAACATCAAAATGTTCAAGAGCAGCAATCCAGTCAGGAGGCCTAAATTTCAAGCATGTCCTGGTAAACATATCACCACCCGCAATGGTTTATCGGGCTTTTCTTTCTATGGAAAACGAGCCACATACATCACAAATCTCCCTAGCCTAAATCATATTGCTATTTTGAAGTGTATTTTCATATTCTATCAACCAATACATGGTGACCATATAGTCGTTTTTTGACTGTAGTTGAGTTTTTGATTCGGACTACAAATGAACTGGGTGAGATCAGGAAAACAATGTAAAATGACCGACTTAATTGTGATAATTAGACTTCAGCTCAACTCATCCACACTTACATATGATAATCCGGATGTAGAACGCGTAGTCGGTTGATGTGGTGTTCGTGGTTGCGTTGACGGTGGATGTAAGCGGAACCGTTTCTGAATAGAAAAATAACAGAGATTTTGATTAGTATCCAAATTTATGTTTGAAAAAAAAAATGAATGGGAAAGAGAGTGCATCCGAGCTAGCTAAGCAGCCGAAGGTGGCCCGATCGATGTGAGGGTGGTAGGGAACTGGAAGGGATTAGCCTGCCGGCTGCGTAGATCTACTCATTAGTCGTTTAGGATTCTAATTGCAAAAGAAGAAAAGCTTTTACTTCCCACGAAATACCAAGAACATCTTGCGACTAATTCTCAGAAACCATGCTGTATTGAAGACCTAGGGTGTGTAATTGGATGGAAATGTCGGATTATATGAGTCTTCGGTTGGATAAGTTCAACTTTATAGTGAAGTCGGAGTAGATGGACACTACGACCCAGAATAAAGTGCAGAGACTCTCAAGGGACATGACATTTTTGGACTCGACTCGTAAAAATGAGATGTAAAGGAGGTAAGCAATATTCAAGCTTGAATTAAACATGTGTCTTTAAGCAGAAGAAATTCACGAGGCATGAGCAACTTAAACACCGTCATTTATCTAAACCTATTCCGCGGTTGTGCCACATCAATAAAATATAATGAGTAGTGGATGCTTTGGCATTCCTATAAGCAATTTCCTCATATCTCATGTACGAACATTGGTCAATATTTCTAAGCATAATTACACATCGTTCAGCATCAGCCGCTAGATCCATGACGTGATCGTCGCGGCATGGAAAGGCCCTTAATAAATTTGGAGATATTGTCGTCTTAAGCATCTTCGTCTAATCGGATCTATCCCTATACTATATTTAGCATGCCATCGCTCTTCCTCTTGTCCGTAGCTATCAGTCCATTTGAGCATGAAAACCTCTACCATGTTAAGTAATAGTTGATCGTATTTCTTAAGCATCTAGCGCTTTTTTGGTAATCAAACTAAGAGTTCTTTGATCATCCTCTCTGATATAATTCATTTCTTTCGGCATTCTGTCTTAACCTGTGTCGAACCACTATATTTCCAATTTTCTACCGTTAATTGAATCATGCTGCTGACGTTCACAATTATCTAGGCATCCAAAACAATCAATGGAACGGAAAGTTGGTTTTTCTATTACAAATTTATTGCAGAATCAA